GTTCAAATTGGCTGTGTTTCATCAAATCACAGAATCCTAGAAATAATTCCAACACTGCCTTAATTATACCACCGATTAAGTTGGATAATATGCCCACAACACCACCCAATAGGCCAGACCCGGCCTGACGTTCACTTATAGCATGGCTTGTGATGGCTATAAGTTAATAGTTGACAAGTATTTTAATTAATATTTTAAGTGTTATTTTTATCATAATTACCTTCAGCTGAGACGCCAGCAAACAGCCATAGACTGACTGTTATAGTGAATATTATGGTGAAAATGCATTTCATTTTGTGTGTTACGTATACCGTGTATTCAAATCAGATTTATTAATATAATTTGATTAATTTCTATGCATTACTAGTATTTATGCCTTTAATTATCTTTATTATTCTTGTGGTGAATGACAAACACAACTGTATTTTACTAAATATTTGAAATATTTTAAAGTCTGTTGAAAGTGACAACTCATAGAAACAATTTTATGTCAACAATTTTTACTATATTTAGAAGTTTGACATTTAATTAAAAATTAAAAACAAATCTGGTGATATTCCACTTAATTCTGATTATGGTGATTTGTATAGAAACCATTTGTTACAGGTTTATGGCATCTGTGCATGAATCTACTATAATAATATTATGTTCATTTATCATTACTATGTATTATTAACATTTTTAATTAATATATTTTTGGTCTATTCTATTAATGATTAATTGCAAAATCAGTTTTAAGTTTTATTAAATTCAAAATGTAAACAAAAATCAAACAGTTTAACTAATTTTAGAAAATAAGGGCATTTTAATCAAATTTGTTATAAAAATTTAATATTTTAATCAAATTAATTAATTGAAAAATACATATTAAAAAACTTTTACAATATATACTAAATTAGACAATCAATCAATTATTAAACCATTTTGAGTCCACCGGCGATGAGTTTAAGCGTTTTATATAAATCGTTCAATAGTTTGACGAGAGTGTCGTTACCGGTGCCGGCAATGGGTGCCAATATTGTGCCCCACGGGGCCGGAAGTGTTTCGGCCATGTAATTGAAATCTCTCAATGTATTGATGATAGTGAGGACAATGTTGGCCACGGCGTCCACAGTAAGGCTCAAAACACCCCCGACTAGTGGTCGCGGCAAACGTTTCTCTACATTGCGCTCCTCTTTAGCTGTTGTAAAAACAATGTGTAAATGGGTTTCGAAATGATTTTTGGCCAGAAATGCATCCATACATACCTGGGTTAGCATTTGTGGCACTAATAAGTGCGATGAAAACAGTGGCTACAAAGACAATGGTAATTAATCTCATTATAAATTTTCGCTAATCAATTCCCTGTAGATTATAGCTCTCTATTGTCACGAATCATAAATAATTGTCTAATATTTATGCATTAGATTTTGTTTTTATTTAAAACCATATGACAATTATTTAAATCATGATAACTGATCACACCATCTTCGTATAAAATATGTTTTAATCATTTTGAAAAAATAGACTAAACAATAATTAAATGATTTTTATAAATATTTATTTGCGGCGTTAAACAAGTGTTAGAAATTTTGTCACTGAATTAACGGCAAAAATAAAGCAAAACGAATGTATAAATATATGTTATAAAAT